CCTTCTCTGGTCAACTTAAAAAAATAATAATAACAAATGTAGGGTCAGCAGATGGCATAATGGTTGTATCACTGGACTCCCACATAGTTGACCACAGTTCAAGCCCTGACCTGGTGGCTTAAAAACCTCAAGCCAGGAGTGTGTCCATGCATGCCCAAAATCCCAAGAGGACAATGGACTGTGGTTTGACCGTGCCCCCTGGGGGGTGATTTCTCATTTTCTGTCTCTCTGTCCCTCTCTATCTATCCAGCAAGTGCACAAGCCGTATAGCAAAAATCTCTCTCAAAAAATGAATAATAAGAATAACAAATGGAATTAAATAAATAAATAATTCTTTAAAAAATATGTGGTTGTCAAAAAACATAAAGTAAAATAAATAAAATAAAATTTGGTTGTCTCAGAGCCAGTATGTAGTGTGGCGGTTAAGGAGCCAGACTCTCAGTTAGTTGACTGTGGTTTGAGTCCCAGACCTGGCCACTTGAAAACCATGCTAGGTACATTTACATATGTGCCCAAAATCCCAAAAGGAGAATGGAGGAGAAGGGATTGCAGCATGACCATCTCCCCCAGGGGTTGATTTTTCACTTTCTCTATCATTGTTTCTCCCTGTCTTTCCCCTGCATGTGCACATGTTATGTATGAAATAAAAACAGCTTTTCTGAAAAGTCAAAAAAAAAAAAAAAAACAAAAAAAAACTGGTCTTTTCTTTCTGATTAACAAAAAAGAAGAACATTTATTTAAATTATGTAAGTTCCTTAGCATTGTAGCACCAAACTAAACCCTATAAAATGTTGATCACTGAGGGGTTTATTTCCCTCCACTTAAAAATTTTCAGCAGGTTGGTTTGGATAGACACTCTGGAAGAGTGGTCAGTAAACTTCTTGTTTTATATATATATATATATATATATATACACACACACACATACACATACACATATACACACACATACATATATATATATATATGTAGACACGTGTATGTATACATATATGTATATATATATTTTTTTTTTTGGAGCAGTTTTTGCTATAGGGTGCGTGCGCTCACCAGAAAGACAGAGAGACAGAGAGATAGAAAGCGAGAAATCACCCCCTAGGGGAGAAGGCCATGCTGCAATCCCTTCTCCTCCATTCTCCTCTTGGGATCTTGGGCATGCATGCACACGCACCCAGTATGAGTTTAAGCCACCAGGTCTGGGACTTGAACTGCAGCAGGCTACATGGGAGTTCAGCAACATAACCATTACGCCAACTACTGGTCCCTCAGCAAACTTCTTGTAAAGGTCTAGATAGTAAATAATTCAGGCTTTTCAAGCTATATATGGTCTTTGTCACATATTCTTTTTTTTTTAAGTTTATTTATTTATTCTGAGAGAGAGAGAGATACACCCCATCAGGTTCTCGACACTGTGATCTACCCCCAGCTTTAGTCAGCCTGGGTCATGGACACATGCTTGCCTGGTATACTTAGGGAAGTCTCTGGGGCAAACTGGCAACCTTCCATTGTCGGTATGCCTCCCAGAGTTGTGTTCTAGCACTCTACCACCATCCAGCCCCACCCATCACTTATTCTTTGTTGTATTTTTTCCTACACTGTAAAATGTAAAAACTGAGGCCAGCAGGTGGCATGGTGGTTTAAGTGCTGGACTCCCACATGGCCAGCTGGGTTTCGAGTCCTGGACTTAGCAGCTTAAAAATCACATTGTGCCAGACACATGTGCATTCTCCTAAGAGGAGAGTGGAGGGAAAGGGATTGCCACATGATCATCCCTCCCGGGAATGATCCCTCGCTTTCCCCCCTTGCTGTTTCTCTGTTTCTCTCCAGTGAGCACACACAGCCTATGGCAAGAACCTAAAAAATAATAATAAAATTAGAATGTAAGAACCATTCCTATTACTGAGAGCCATAGAGAAACAAGCCGTGGTCAGATTTGGCTCTTGGGCCATAATTTGCTGACTTCTGCTCTAGAATAAACTATTGGATCATCAGAAAAGTCATGACATATTTTTCTGTTTTCCTATGCAAAATGACTTTTTAGATGACCCAATATAAACATTTAAAGTGACTTTTTTTTTTTTTGAATTTTAAAATGTTTAATGTAGTTCAAACAGCATCTGGTTCATTTCAGCTCCTTCACCGCCAAACCTGGGGGCATAAAGTGACTTATTTTTAAAAAATAATTTATATCATTTCCACGGGAACCAGCAGTTGTAATGGCTATGTCGCTGGACTCCCACGTAGTCGACCGCGGTTTGTGTCCCAGACCTGGTGGCTTAAAACTCACGCCAGGTGCATGTGCGTGCGTGCCCAAGATCCTGAGAGGAGAAGGGAGGAGAAGGGATTGCGGCGTGACCATCCCCCCTGGGGGTGATTTCTCGCTTTCTGTCCCTCTGTCTCTCTCTGTCTGTCTGGTGAGCACACGCGCCCTATAGCAAAAATCTCTCCAAAAAAATAATAATAATAATTTATATTGTTTCCATAAATTAACTCGGTTTGTTTGAATCAAACTTTATATTACAAAATTCATCACTTACATGCCCTTTTGTGTTACTGGGAAGTATAAAGTTCATATATTAATTGAACCTGAATCTCATCTTAATTGTTCAAGTGTGCACTGTATTTTAGTCACTTTAGGCTTGAGAAAACTGCCCCACTGTTTAGAACAGTATCTTAGAGCTCATAGAGTACATGTTATAACATGCAGAAGTTAGAAACTTTAGGTATTCATCAGTCAAAAACTGAGTCCATGGTGAGCACATTTTCAGGGCCTCTGAATCACAGATTTTATACTTGGCTGACCAGCTCAGTATTTCTTATCACTACAAGTTAATACTTATGGGTCATGAATAAATGGCATCCTACCAAAAGAAGAGAGATTTCTGTCCAGAAAGAACACGAGTGCATTTTAATTTGGGTGAAATAAATATTCAAGAAAGTTGCATGTCATGGAAAGGTACATGAATCCTGGTCATACTTCTGAACCCCAAGAGTTCCGACATATATCTCTCTTGAGTATATGTGAAGGGGATATTGTCTATCGCCAAGGAATTGTGTGAAGCTGAAAATTAAATTAATACATACTTATAGAAATCTTCTAAAGTGGACTGCATACCAAAAACTTTTTGTTTTTTAGAAAGTCCAGCAGTTTTGAATGACTACGACATAACCAAATCTCACGAAATAGAAAATGTGGACAATGCGGAAGGCCCAACCAATGAAGATGAAGATATGGGAGGTGAGCCATAGTGAACAGGCTAAAAACCAGTGCTTACAGAGATGGTTAAGACCTAGGATGAAAAAGAAATCAGCTCTCCAAGGAAAATTTTGCATTTGTAGGCTTCATTAGGAGTGATTTCACGTTGTTCATTTCACAGATATTTGCATTGTTTTAGTTTGCTATAGGCTATCAGCAACTTTTGAGAATTTCAGGTGCTTATTTGGTTTTCATATTATATTAACTTAACTAAAAAAGTTTTTATTCTTTCCCATTATGAAAATAATGCACATTTATTGTAGTAAGTTTGTCCATAGTGTTTTACAATGCCAGCAACTAATTCTCCAATTCAGATGATAACTGAGTGTCCAACTGTTCAATTCAATTCAGTTCTGATACTGATTCCTGGAGTGAGCACAGATCCCGCAGGTTAAGGATGCAGTCCCACAAGACTGCCCCCACTTGACATCAGTCTCAAGTACCACGTCTCTAGATCCCCTCCACTTCTGTTTAACTTGGCTACAAAGTCAAGGATTTCCACAGCTCCTGTCCCCAGGCTCAATGATTTGGTAGGATGACTCACAGAACTTGTAACATAACCTGTGTATTCATTCCTTTACACTCAACTATCCCTTCTCGCCATTTATACCCAAACTTTCGTAAGGAACATTCGGTTCAGTACTGCAATGGTCTAGATTGCAGGTAGCAAGGACCTCCTCCTCAGTCCACTCCCATACATACAGCATAGGGTCACACAGGTGCAGAACCAGTAAGCTGATGCTACCACTGGGCAATATAGCTGCATTCACTGCCAACCCCAATTTTACCAGATGGGGGTGGAGACACAGGATGCCTCCTTGGGCCCGTAGTTATTCTGACATAAAGTTTTAAAACTGTAGTTACTATTTCTTGCACAGTGTAATCTCTGTTTCTGGCACTTGTCATTGCCGCCCTGGTCCTTGTGACCACCACATTTGGTAGGAAAGAGAAGTGATGTGTGGAAGGAAAAAGAAAGGTAATCATGCTAGCATCCTCTCCTTGAGAACTATATAGTCAAACCAGCATCCTCCCCAACCCCTCTCTCTAATCCACCAGGAGATGTACTTAGCGGGTACACTCCTTTAGCTCATGTTGAGTGTGAGTACACACTTGTGAAAACTGCATAAACCAGTTCTTCATGATTATATCTCACCTAGCTTTAAACCACCAGTGTTTCAGTTGCCTGCTCCAATTCTCTATAAAACTATTAATGTAAGGAGGATATCTCTTTGTCCATTGTTTGACACTATGGACTACAAATAGTGTTCTTTGGTCTGAAGAAATGTGGTTTGGTGGTCCAAATTCATTATCTTATGTTCTGGTTCTTTTATGATACTCCAACCATTTCTATCTACCACCAGTTATGCAAAGCCCAGTCCGGAGTCAGTATTGATTCTTGTCAAAACTACTTTGTAGGTGCCAGCTGGTGATATAAATGTACACACTGGTCCGCAATGCTAGGCTCACATGGGAAGGTCCTGGTTTCATGTTCCAAGTCTTCCATGTACCTGTCAGGCATGCATGTGCTGGAGATCTGGGCTGGCTGAGGCGGGGGGGTAGATTGTGGCATGAAGACACACACTCACTCTCTTTCTCTTTTGCTCTGAGAAGAAATAAATAAACTTTAAAAACAAGCAAACAAGGCCATGGCATAACAGTAATGTGCTGCTTAAGAGAAGCCAGATCCTACATGATGTCTCCCATGTGGTCCCTGGTCAGGTCAGCCTGAAACATGGTGGGCACACATGTAAGTGTCTAGGATCTGACTGGCTGAAGACTGAAGGAAGAGGACTGCAGTGTGTTTAGAACCTGTGGAGAGTGCTCAGTTCTCTCTCCCCTTCTCACTGTCACGTGTGCACACACACACACACGTTCTGTCATAAACAAAGGAAAAATTCTAAATAAAAACAAAAACCATTTGTAGCCTCTGGACTACCAGGATCAGCTCTTCCATACAATCCACTCTCCAGCTATGTGCAGAACCTTCCTTGGGGGAATCCCATACCCATCTGCAGTTTCTGTCTTTCTTGTTGGTAAGCAAACAGTTTCTTGGCTTTTTTTGTCTTAGAGAGGGCAAGAGGAGTATGTACAGAGGCAGCCTATCTTCTGCATTGATGAAGCACCCGTGTCCACTCGTATCATGGACTTGGTGGCCACCTCAAGCAAACACAGTGTGATATCCACTCATTGGTTCCAATTACCTTCCTAATCTGGCAGGGGAGAGGGCTTTTGCTGTGCATGGACACATGCTACTTTAATGCATCCCTCACATTCCCATAGTGATTTCCACAGGGCTTTGCTCCCTTTGAGAATCCTGATAGACCCAGTTTCCATTGCCCCCTGCCCTACCATATGGCCAGGCTCTCAAATCAGTAGAAACTGAAACATCCTTTTTCATTGTCAATTCTTCTATCACTGCTAGGAAAATGGCAGATAATTCAGCCCACCTTGCTGATTTGTTTTTACCTTCTTTAATCCAGTGATGGTCTTCCAAACAGGATGTGGTCCATTTACCTTAGAACTGCCATCCACAAGCCAAGCAGCAAATTTTTTTTTGTCAGTCAAGAGCTAATATATAGGGAATTTTGCAAGTGGGGATAGAATCCAGCAGCTCCTCACACAGTTTGAACGAAGGTCAGTCCTAGGGGAAAGGAGTTTCTTGCTCCTAAGTATCTCCTCCTTGCATTCCCAAAATAGCATAGTCCTGTAGAAACCATTTCCATTTCAACATGGAGCTGTACTAGGCATTTCCTCCCCATTACAACAGTTCTCTGATGTCACTCAAGATATCATTAGTATTTTAGGTTTTAAGAATAATTTCCATCTTTCAGTAATAGTTGGTTTCGATTAATGTCCAATAGCAAGCTAGTAATTGCCCTCCAAATGGAAATTCTCTAGTCCAGAGTCCCAGTTGCCCCTAGGAACTACTTGCAGGCTTCTGCCATAAGCCCTAATCTACACTCCACATAGAGCTGTGACAGAGAACATGTCCACACCACACTCTGGCTTCTCTCGGTCCACTGTGTGGACTCAGCCAATCTTATTTGTTCTCATTTAACATGTGTAATTAACATTGAAGGGCAGGTTTACATGCTTTTTGATCTGCAGAAACAGTGTCCCAGACAGACATCATACCCCTCCCATAATACATTCATGTAAAATAGATGTAACTACTTTAAACATGCCAGTTTTCCTCCAAACTTTCACCTTAATCCTATCAACCCTTACATTTCTAACAGTAGCCTCTGTTTGGATTTCCTCAACTGATTTTTGTTTTACTAGGTAGAGGTATTCCCTTGTCAGATGTAACATCCATCCCCATAAAACCTTCAGATAAAGGAGACAGTCTTTTCACGTAAAGCTGTTTAAATGTTCCTGTGTTCATCTAAACCTCTACCTTAATCCTGACACTCTTACATTTCTATATTCTCTCAGTCTAATTTAAGCCTCTTTTAGGGTTTCACCAATAATTTTTGGTACCATTGTGTATGAGGCTCCTGTGTGGAGGAGTCCTAGAAACGTTTCTTCTCTATCCCATGTCCACTTTACCCCTTCCTATGCAAAAGGCTTCTGGGTCTGTAGTGTGTGGTCAAGCCAAGGGACCTTGGCCCATTTGCTAATCTTTATCATGATTAATCTGCCTGATTATTGTCCCAGGAGATTTCAGATTATATTTGTAATTGTAATCTTTACTTTCTGGCTTTAATTTTTTTTTTTTCTAAAACTGCAATAGAGTGAGCTTGTTTGGGACCCTTCATTCTAGGGCCACAAGCAGCAGGTACCTTTGATCCGCCTGACCTTCAGTAGCGCTCTATTATAATCTTTACTTCAACCCCATCAATGTCTGTTTATTTATTGCATTTTTAAATAACCATCACCCTGCTGAGAATTTTACCCTGCTGGGAATGAGTCCCTTGACTCTCCCCTTTTATTTTCTTCTTTGTTTCACCCCATCAGGTTTCCTTTATTCACCTTCTTTCTTTCTTTTTTCCCTTTATGGGAGGTGAAAGGAGACAAGCAGGGGGCAAGGGAGGAAGAGAAAGGGTGAGAGGAGGGAGAGAGTAGGCATTTTTGACAGGGTCTCCCTGTGTTGCAGTCCTCAGCTCTGGCCTCCCAATTAGCTAGGATTACAGGTGTGCACACTGCATTCGATGATTCACTGTATTTCTTAATCATTCATTTTACATGTCCTCCTTGATGAGTCCAGTCTTCTCCAACTCTCCCTTCTCCATTTTCTTGTTAATTAACCTAGCATTTTTGTTAGCATATGTAAAACCCATGATCAGGCTTTTATGTGAATTTTGAGCACTATATTGACATTGCTTACATTCAATGCTAATATTTATGTTGATAAATCTATTGACTATTGTTTTATGGATGTCACTCATATCTTAAATGTCATTTCTTTAGACAGGCTTTTCCTGACAACCTGGTCACTATTTTAACACAGTATCCTATTTTAATTCTCTGCATGACACTTCCTACAGATAATTTTAGAGTTTTGTTTGTTTACCATAGCTCTCCTCCCACTCTTCATTAACTAGGATCTTGAGCTGTCTGTTTCACTGCTAGGTATTTGTAGCACCTAGAAGAGTACCTGGCCCATAGTAGATGTGTAATAAATATTTGTCGAGTGACTAAATGAAAGCCCTGGGTTAATTTTATGTGTGCATATATGTGCTTCTTAAGGGAGGAAAAGATTAGTGTCTTGAGATCTGTTTCTTTTGTCTTAGGTTTCTTAAGGAACCAATAAATAGAGTTCTTTGTCTAAAACTTCTGAGATTCAAATCACAGCTTCAACTAACATTCCAACTCTGCCGAGCTATACATTAATTTGTACCAGTTTTTAACCACAGAGACAGAAAAATGCTGCCTGGCACAGGATGTGGTCATTTGTGCTGAGGAAAGGCATATGGTGTCGTATCAGCTTCATGCAACTTCTTGAAGGTGACATCCATGGAGTCACACTCAGAATGAAGCAT